CACACACACACAAAGAGAGAGAGAGAGAGAGAAAGAAAGAAAAACACACACACACACACACACACACACACACACAACAGACCCCTCCTCCGGATACAATCACCTTTATGCAAACGCGTGGGTCTCTGTCTGCCCACTTCAATCCTGGAGTGGAGGGGGTTGGAGAGATAGATGGGGGGGCACAGGTGTCCAACAATCCAACACACACTCCTACCCCACCCCCAAAAACAGTCACACGCGAGCACCACGGAGACCCCCGGGCGCAAGCATGGAGAGAGAAACAAACAGGAACAAGTTGAGTATTCTGATTAACAGTCTCCATTAGTCAGAACTTTCCGTTAATAATCGTGAAATAAACGCAAAAGCTTCTGCAAAGAAAAATGAAAGAGGCATGTTGGTGACTTTAGATGCGAGAGAAAGCTCAACAGGCCCGTGAGTCAGGAGGTTAAAGCCCAGATTAAGATTAAATATATCCACATTAACATCATCCAGTTTGTGTCAGTCATTTATTTTTACTTTATTCCTTAAAACAGCTGACACAGCAAACACTGGGGGAATCATTTGCTTCGTTTTCCATTGTGACACACAAATAATGTTGTCTTCATGTTGCCTTCATTTTAGAACACATGAGATGGATGTGAACCTGAATTTGATTTAAATAAAAACCAAATTTTAGGATTTATGAGACCAACAGACCTGTAGAGTTCGGTTATTTGCACTTTTTCTGTCATTTCTAGATTGTTTTGGTCTGCAGCTCCAAAACATACTCAGACCTGGATTCAGGCCTTCATTCGTCGCGCTATAGGTTAAAAAAAAAAGTATTTTTTTTTTTTTTTGGAGGGGGGTAAAGGGGGTCAGGGAGCTTTAACTCGGTGACAAAGCCTCATTTGCAGGTCAATGCGATGGCACACTCGCCTCTCCTCTCCATCCAGCTCGTCTTTGTTCCCTGTCGCCTGCGCCGATGCCAGATGGTCATGGAAAATGCTAATTCCCCCTGGCTGATTTTCCTCCTTTCTATATTTAATTGCGGTCTTTGCAGACTGTCCCGTTAATTGTGTGTTTTGAGAGGAAAATCAGATTTAAAGTTGTTGTTTTTTTTTCTTCTCTGAAATGATATTTTTAAGTTGCCACATTTTGCCTTCAACCTCAAAGCCACGCATTGTAAACTCAAAGTGGCTGCAGCTATACATCAGCCCATCTCAGACACTTAAAGGAGCAACATTTTAGAGAAACTAGAGACGCATTTTACTGAACGGACGAGATTTTATTAGCAGTCATTGTGATTAATCACTAAAGACAGAATTAACAGACTCTGCATGGACACACGCAGAGGGCGCATTGTGACTGCGTTAAGATTAAACGCTTAAGATCAACTTTTACACACACTACACTAACCTATATTTGTTTAACTTTACTAATCTCTTCTTTCTTTTTTTATAACTCAGACTTACGACTTCAGATATTCATTTATTCGTTCATTTTTGGCAATCCAAGATAGATTTTTATCCCTCCGTTTCAAAATAAATGTTACAAAATAAGAGCATATTGTAGCCCTGATTTTAACACATTTTGCGGTTGGAATACATCTTTATAAATCTTGTAATTCTTCTTTCATTATTAATTTAAATTCGATCTAATTCAAAGCAGCAGAGGCCTGTTTATTTAAAGTCTTGTAGCTTAGTTCTAATGAAACAATATTGCTCTCCTTATAGACTGTTATTAATATTCACATTAACCTGTTTTTCCACTATCACCGACTAAAAGCTCAGCTGTGTTGCCACTGTAAACCCGTTATAGATATGTTAGATGTACAGAACCTGAAGTTTAATTTAACTCACTGATTAAAGCAAATTACATTTGATAAGCATTTAACCGGGGCCTGACTGAGACAATAAAATTGTGGGTGTGAGTGAAAGGTCAGATGGGAGCCTGAAGGGGCCATGACGCTGATTCCCTCCATCAGCTGATGGTTTAATTCTATTGTTGTGGACTTGTTAATGAGGTCTGTATGTTTGCTGTCATCTCTTTCCTTTATGTCCGTCATGCATACAACAGGACTGCAGTTATAATTGCCTAAACATATTCTACAGTATGGAGCCCATTTCGACTGTAAAAAAAAAAAAAAAACGGCCTTGACATTGAAGTTTATTATTGTGACACATTATTATGCATGGACATTCTGATTAAAATGACTTACTGTTTAAAACGCAAGTAGATTTTTTTCCCCTTCCCTTTTCTGTGTAAAGAGAAGCTTACTGGGTTGAAATTCGGGCCTTAACCTATGACCTTCCCGCAATGGCTCAAATCCAATACCTCTTTGAGGAAACGAATGCGATCTGAAGTTCTATTTATTGGGACAAATTTTATATAGTTGCACAGCTGTAGAGACAAATAAAGGAAGACGACCCCTTTAACTCTGAGGGGGGACTTGAGCTCTTGAATGTGTCCAGTCTCCAACATAGAAGGGACTTCATTAAAGTAACACATGAACAGCTGTTGTCTTTAACATGTAAACTATTGAGAATTTAAAACTACACTGAATGGCCCCGCAGCTCCCCGTGGGCATATGGGCGTTAATTAGCTGGATATAGCCATAGATTAATTATAATATTTTTTTCGCCAATCCGTATCAATAGAGCAGCCAGACAAAGTGTCTTTTGTTCCCTGATGCAGGACATTCTGTGGCTGACTGAATGGGTCTTGGCTATGTCTACATGGATTTGCCATATGGCAACAAAAAGGAAAGAATGGAGCCGGAGAGCGCTTTGTGTTGGAAATCAGAACAAGCCCGTCAGAGCTTATGGCTGCATAGAGCTGACAAAGTCACTCTGGCCATCAAAAGTCTCCATTTTCATCAAAACATTAATATCAGACAGTCGAAGCAGCCCAGACAAATGGGAGAAACTTATGGAAAAATGACGAAATGCGCCTTTGTTTCGTGCGCACGGCGCACAGGCAGAGCGGGCCCTGCGCGCATTCAGACACTGCTGCATTTGGCTTCTTTCAATTAAGGGTAAACTTGCAAGTATGACCTGTTGAATGGTTTGTTTCAATAGACGAGGACAATTACAAAGACTAGTAGTTTTCTTTTTCCAGCTCTGGCAGGTGGCCTCCACGCCCGGTGTATCCACGGCGGGGTAAACAGTGTGTGTGAGTGGGTCTTTAGAGGGCTTGTTGAGTGCGGGTGGATGTGGGGGTGTCTTCGTGGCGGACAAAGCGGGGATCCAAAGGCAGCTGCTGCTTCTTTAGAGAAGCGAAAGGGCCTTTAAATCCCAGCCTATATCCCGCAGCTGCCATGCTGCCCAAGGCTGCACGTCTGAATGCGTTTTCCCCCCGCAAGGTATATGAGCCCACGGAGGCAGACAGATACAGGCGGAGCTCAATGTACCTGCGTCCCCCCGGGGGGCCAGTCATAAATGTCTGCGATAACACTGCATGGATTGTTGGCGTTTATTGTGCTGTCTTTGCAGCAATGCTTGTGTGGAATACAATAAATCCTCTCTAACATTAGTATTAAAGTGTGCGGCCAATAAGAATACGAGCAGCTTGCAATAAATGCACAATACAGCTGTTGTTTCTAAATAAAAACATGATATGCAGACACACAAAAAAAAAACACAAAGACGCCAAAGCCTCTTATCTCAGTTTCAGTTTCAAGACCAATTTGACTCACAGGTAGTTTCGAGTTAGCCTTATCCAAGTAAACCGGAAAAAACACACCAACAAATCTGCTTAAAGTCGAAGTGAAAATATTTTATTCTTGTCTTTTGCATGACATACTTAGGGCACTTGTACGAAAACACAAAAAAACGGCTCAGAAACACAAAGAAACCTATCTTTTCAAGTGTGTACTACTATAGGAAAGCTACATGATTGCAAAACATCACAACACAAAATGGAAATAATAATAAAAATAAAATAAAAACATGCCCTTTGGCTAAATCAACAAGGCATTTAACAAATATAAAGAAACATAAATAAATTATAAGTTAGAATAGTCTTAAAAATATACATTTACAGAAAAAACAGAACAGAAATAAACATTTATAAGCTATTGTCTCTATAAAGCTGTACACTTTTGGCCAGTGTAGACAATTCTTTTTAAAGTAATTTAGGATTGCACAGATGTTAAAACATTTAACACTGTCGAGTGGCTGTATGCAAAAGCAACAACGAATGCTACATTTGTACTGGATAGAAGTCATTCGGCGAAATTTGCTCTCTTTTCCACTCCCTTTCCCCCCCTCCCCCAAACCGTTCAGTCCTGAGAGTCTGCTCCGGTGTTCAGGCTGCGCTCCGCCAGGGCGCACCGAGCCGAAGCAGCCGGCCGGTCGGGCTTCTCTCTCCCACACCGTCCCCTGCTTTTTCTCTTCTACCGGCGTTTAAGTAGCCCAGAGAAACATCCTTGATTCTCAAAAAAAAATGCGCAGGCAAATAGTGCAAAAAAAACCACACCTGGTGGAAGGAAAAGAGAAAGACACGATGGTCAGTTTTCTGGGAACAGTCATTCCGAAGAAAAAGACGCGAGTCAGCTTTCTGAGGAAACAGAGATCTAACCTCAGCAGCAGGCGTCACCCTTTACCCATGCCTTTTCCCGCCACATAGTGACGCAGATTCCCCTCCCCCAACCACTAGTGTTACTACTACTATCACTACTACTGCGATTTCACCACAACAAACTCTCCCCACCCCCTCCCAGATAACACTGCCTCCGCTTTTTTCTTTTTTTTCTTTTTTTTTTTGCTCAGGTTATCCTTCACAATTAAACCCAACTAAACAGTTATAATGAAGCTACAAGGTTTAACACAACTAATAATTACCAGCTTATCATTTGAGGTGTAACAAAGCGGAATTGTCATGTTAAACACGATTTAACTGTTTGAACAGCTCAATAAAATTCAATAAATCCTCATACCTTCAACGGATCCTCTTTCGTGGAGTTTGTTCCATCGGGATTGGAGACTTGGAGTGATGGCAAGCGTTCATATCATTAGATTTTCTATCAGCAGCCCTCTTTCTTTTCGCGAAGAAGTCTGTGGGAACGACGGAAAAAACAGTTAAGACACATACATCCACTTGAGGTGAAATTACGCACAGAAGGGAGCGGGCTGGCAGACTCCGGGATGATTTGGATACAGGGCGCAGCCCCCCGGAGCCGAGAGCGCACACAACCTCAACGTTAGATTTAAGAGAACATCTTATATTTACCTGTGATGTGTGAGTTGTTGTCAGTAGTGGCCGTCGTCTTGCGTCTGACACACGGGACCTGTCTGTGAGCCGGCTTTCCTGAGTTGAGTTTGTCTGTGCGGTTCTCCTGGTTGACCTCCACCGGGGAGGGAGTGCTGCTGCTCTCGGGCAGGGCCAGGCGCTCCAGTACATCCAAACGAGGGGTCTCCGGGAGAGCAGAGTCCGCGGAGGGCGTCTGCTTCACGGGAGTCGCTGGCACCCTGGTCCTGTCGTTCTGTACAGAGTCCTGATAAAACACCGGGGTGTTATCCACGGGCACCTCTTCCCACTCATAATCCCCTTTCAGCGGCGTGTTGGCCTCGAAATTAAAGTTCCACCTCTGCTGGTCCCGCTCGGAGATCTCCCGCAGTTTGGTTTTCATGTCCCGGCTTAGTTCGTCATGATCCACCGGTCCGAAGAGGTTGCGGCAGACGCTTGTGCGCCTGTGGAGAGGGAAGGTCCTCCTGGCCACCAGCCTCTCCAGCGCGCTGCTCGATAACTGGACGCTGGACATCTCCAAAAATCTTTCCAACGGAGCTCCAAAATGACAAGAGAAGATGCCCGATTTAATCCCTGATGAGCGAGTATCAGGTGTTGTTGTTGTTGTTGTGCCTGAAAGTGTGTGTGCGTGTGTGTTTCTTTCTCCTCGCTCGTCTGTCTCTCTCCTCCACACAGTCGCGTTTAAATGTACCTTCGTGGAGGAGATGTGGAGTATATAATCTCTCGACAACTCGCCAGTCAGAGGAGACGTTCTCATTGGTTGTTTTAAGTCCTACCCTCTCCAAAAAAAAAAAAAAATGCGTGGCTCTTTGAGGTTGAATCAAAAAATGGGCAACTTTAAAAATATCATTTTCAGAGAAGGAAATAAAACAACAACTTAATCTGATTTCCTCTCAAAAACACACAATTAACGGACAGTCTGCAAAGCCCGCAATTAAAATATATGAAAGGATGAAAATCAAGCCAGGGGGGGAATTAGCATTTCCCGATGGGACCAATCTGCATCGGCGCAGGCAAGGGAAACAAAAGAACGAGCTGGATGAGAGAAGAGGGCGAGTGTTGCCCAGCGCATTGACCTTGCAAAATGAGGCTTTGTCCACCGAAGTTAAAGCTCCCTGGACCCCCTTTTACCCCCCTCCAAAAAAAAAAAAAATTACTTTTTTTTTTAACCTATAGCGGCGACGAGCCATGAAGGCCTGAATTCCAGTCTGAAGTAGTTTTGAGCTGCAGACAAAACAATCTAGAAAATGACAGAAAAAAGTGCAAATAACCGAACTCTACAGGGTCTGTTGGTCTCATAAATCCTAAAATTGGGTTTTATTAAATTCAAATCAGGTCACATCCAGTCTCATGTGTTTCTAAAAATGAAGCAACATGAGGACAACCATTATTTGGGTCACAATTGGAAACGAAGCAAATGATTCCCCCCAGTGTTTTGCTGTGTCAGCTGTTTTAAGGGAATAAAGTTAAAAATAAATGATGACCACAAACGGATGATTTAATGTGGGATTATATATTTAATCTTAATCTGGTTTTAACCTTCCTGGACCTCACGGGGCCTGTTGGATCTTTCTCTCGCAATCTAAAGTCACAACAATTGGCTCTTTCATTTTTCTTTGCAGAAGCTTTTTGCGTTTATTCACGATTATAAGGAAAAGTTCTGGACTAATGGAGGACTTTTAATCAGAATTACTCCAACTTGTCCTTGTTTGTTTCTCCTCCTCCATGCTTTGCGCCCGGGGTCCTCCGTGGCGGCTCGCGTTGTTGACTGTTTTGGGGTGGGTAAGGAGGTGTGTTGGATTGTGGACACCCTGGCCCCCCCATCTAATCTCCAACCCCCTCCACTCCAGGATTGAAGTGGGGCAGACAGAGAAACCCAACGCGTTGCATTCAAAGGTGATTGTATCCGGAGGAGGTCTGTTGTGTGTGTCGGTGTGTTGTGTTTTTCTTTCTTTTTCTCTTCTCTCTCTCTCTCTCTCTCTTTCTCCTCTCTCTTCTTCTCTCTCTTGTGTGTGTGGTTGGTTTTTCAGAGACGAACTTGCTGCTATCTATCATTATCTAACTTATCTATCATCTATCTATCTATCATCTAATCTATCTATCTATCTGTCTCCAGAGGATATTCTATTATATTTTAATAAA